AGCTTGCTACGGGGAAAGCAGGGGGACCGCGGCAGCCAATGTAAAAGGGTGTAAATAGATGCTCAAGAGACCCCAGGGAGAGTCCATGCCCCTACTACACAGGAAGGCAAACCCCCCGCAGTCTGCACCAGTCTGACCAGGGGGTAGCATTGCTTCCAGACCCCAAATCTGGCATCAGTCTGACCCTGAGCTTTAACCAGGACGCTCTGGTTTAAATCCCAGCTGGAGCATTAGCACAGCCCAGTCCCCATCCCCAGCCTGGGCTGCAGCACCTTCTAAAAAAGACCATGAACCATGTAGCAGAAAGAGGGGTTTGTGATGGCAGGGGGTGGGGAGGGGAGTGGGGATTTCCTCCCAGCCCCACGCAGGAACCAGCAATGCCCATGCGGATATTGCAGGGGGTCTAGGAGGGATTGATTGAGACCGAGTTGGCAATTCACCTATGCTGCAAAATTTGAGCCGGAGGGCAGAAACATGGGGTGAAATGCAGCTGCTATTACTGCTGGGATCTGCGTTGCTGACTGGCACGGCCCCTTTCTGGCCTGGAAACCTTTTCCGACCAACGCATGTGACTGCCTCCCGTGTCTTGCACCGCCGGAGGCTCTTCTCCGAGCCCCGCACCGAGAGGCAGGTGACGAGGCGAGAACCTCAGCTTCTCCCGATGCGAACCTGCAAGGTCCCAGCCTCGGTCATGGGGTAGAAGAGCTTGTAAGCGTGACTCCCACGGCTCCGATCAGGGAAAAGGAGCCAGCAGGGATCATTTTTCAATATACTTATGGCTCATGATTTTGGGGGGTCCTGACTTTGTGTTTGGGGGAACAATTTAGGTCAACTCTAGGGCAGGGGAGATTCAAAGGTAGGTCCCAGCCCTCCGTGAGACCGGGCATTGAATTGGTCTTTGCCGTGGGTGGTATCGATGATCCTGATGGTGGAGATCCTCGGAGACCCCATAAACCCAGTCGATTATCCTTGTTCGGTGCTGCCCTCCCTATAGAGGGGGAGATCCATGCCTGAGGGCCGCTTTTCTCCCGGAGCAGGTGATCTCACCTGAGGGTCACCAGTCCCTTAGCGTTAGCTTTTGTGCCGCTTCGGCATCTTTTGCGTTCAGCTCAGCGGTCCCCCTTCCTAAGGAGAATCCTATGCAAATAAGAGACACGGAAACCATGGAAACGGATGGTTAATGCCATCCTCGATCTAGCTGGTTCTTGGCCAGCCCCGAGACGGTGCGCTTGCACAGAAATTGGGTGATGTATGGGCTACAGCTGCACGAATAACAGAACAGCAGGTCTTTCCACCAGGGTGTATTTAAAGCCAATCACACAGGGGATGCGGTTTTAAAGCTGGGTTAGGATCAGTGGAAATTTGGGTGGGAACGACTGATGTTTGCACGGTGCTTTGCAGATAACCAGGCTGGGATTGCATTTGAGTGGAAGAAAAGGCAGGCTGAACTCCTGTGAAGCCCTGGGAATTAGCTCGGGGTTACGCAGAGATCTCGGCCAGGCGATATCAGTGCTAAATACCAACGTCCTTTGCTTAAAGGAACAGAGCCCAGGCGATGCCCCAAATTCAGGCTTTTCAGCGTGCAAGCTTTCAGGGGGAAAAATGCCAATGCTTTGGAAATGTTATCATTCATATAAGGAAGGGAGAAAGCTGGGATTCCTCTGGACAGGGATTGGACATCTCCATCCTTGGAGGTTGTTAAGACCTGACAACGCCTTGGCTGGGATGAAGTAGTTTGGGGCTGGTCCTGCTTGGACTAGATGTGGCCTCCTGACGTCCCTTCAACCCTCATTTTCTATGGCTTTGTACAACTATGCTAGGGGTCTGGGGCTGGATTATTCAGTTTAATACTGCAGCTTCTTACATCCTCTGGGATTCGGAAAGGCGGCCCGACCCGTCCAGACCTCCGAGGTCGGGGAGTGTGGGCCAGGATGGGCATTTCTATAAGAAGGACTTAGGAAGGAGGATTTGGGGCCTGATCCTCAGCAGCTAGCAGTGATCCTGAGTGACCCTGGCAGGGCCTGACAAAGTGAGAGACGTCCTGTGCGTTCCCAGTCAGGGACTGGTGCTGGTAGAAAGGAAGGGACTCATTGTACGGCATGAAGCCAAGCGCATCCGCTTACAAAATGGTACCCACCCCATCTTCTCCAAGGCACGGCGGTAGTGGCCCCCCCCCCTGCCGCAAGGGCCAGGCTGCAGGGCTGAGCAGTGGGTTATGCTGTGATAACCGGCTCCCAGCTGGAGCATTGGCACAGCCCAATCCCCATCCCCAGCCTGGGCTGCAGCCGGCACCCAGCGCCTCTGGGGGAGGCTTAACCCCCCCCCCGACACATGGAGCAGGCAACCAGCAAAGCCCAAAAGCCTGGGATATCCCCACAGCAGAGCATGGGCATTGCTGCACCTAGATCATCCCCAACCAGCGTCTGTCCAGTCTCTCCTTGACACCTCCAGTGATGGAGAGACCCCCCCGTCCCGTCCCCGGTGTCTCTCCCACAGCCTCCATGCTCTGACAGGGAAGAAGTTGCCTACTGCCATATGCCACCTCTTCATTAGGGGCACCGTGCTACATAGACAGACCAACAGCGGTGCAGTGACAAGCCCAAGGTGACCAAGAGCACCTGTGTCAGAGCTGAGAACTGACTCCAGGTCTCCTAGCATCTGAACAACAAGCTCCTCCTGCCGCCGCATGCGTTGGCCGGTACAATAGGCCAGCCAGCTCTCTGCAACGCTGTGCATAGCTGGACCACTCGCCGTACAAAAGCTCCCAGCGAATCCAGGCACTCAGGCAGTGCTCGTTACTGCCTGAGCATCTAACGAAGCCCTTGCTAGCAAGACAAGGTATGTGCCAGCAGCGCTAGCTCTAAGCCAGAGGCAGGGCTTTGTCTGGCTGACAATAGAGTTGCTGTTCTCTTTGATCTCGTGGCCATCCAGCTAGCAGCAGTGCCAGCCACAGAGGGGACAAAACAAGACAAGAAATCAGGGTGGCAAACACAGGAGCGGCCCTGTTTGCCCAGGGGGCAACAACGGGGCATTTTGCTTTGTGCTAACAGTAAAACCCAGCCCCGCAAAGCAGAGCAGAGCAGAGCAGGCTGCAGAGAGATGCCTCCTGCTGCAGCAGACTCCAGGCCCCAGCATCCAGGGCCAGGTGGCATGGGACACGGCCGTGCCAGGGCCCTCCACCCATGCAGCAGCCGGGAAGGGCAGGCAACTCTGCAGGATGCTCTGTGCAGAGTCCACCCCGCACCTGAAGCAGGTTGGGTTTGGGGGCCTTGCTCCTCACTGCAATGACCATGCAACCAAGCGTGAATGCACACAGGTCTTTTCATGAGGCCCCCAGCAGCGACCAGTTTGCAGCCATCTAGGGAGAGAGAAACGGGTGCTCAAAGATTACGCATGAGTGGTTTACCTCTTACCAGGCCTATTCCCTGCTGGCAGGTATCCTTTGCCTAAGCGAGCAAACCAGGGTGCGTCCAAGTCCAGGACTTTGCCAGCAAACACCTTGCAAGCATTGCCTTGTCCATCTGGGGCCTTCGGCCCCCTTCATCTGCTTTCACCTGCTGATGAGAATCACTCCCTTCGTTGTTCGCATGCTATTGCGGGATCTGCTTTGCTGGGGCCAGCAACACCCTGCCCCAGTGACAGTCCTGGGGAGAGAAATCCTGGGTTGTGTGAGCTTACCCACGCTCTCCTGGCACACCTAGTGATGGGAAACTGAGGCAGAGCTAAGCACGAGGGGAGGAGTGGTGCCTGCTGCCCAGTGGGAAGCGCGGGACTGGGCAGAGAAGGGAGGATTGCATTGAATTAATGTTGCATTTCAGTCGTATGCTCCAGGGTCTTTGCTGGCCTGATGCAGAGACCAGAAAGGACTGCCTTTCCCTAAAGCATCGGTTACTGGCCACAGCTAGGAGCAGGGGACTCTGGTTTTAGAACAGGATATTCCCATTGGGCTTGAACCAGCCGGTTTCCTGAACCCGAGAAGCACCTGGCCTTGGGGACAGACTCGAGAGCAAGGTGTTTTGCTGGCATGGACAGACATAATATCTGACATGGCTCCAAAGGCACCAGGTTTGGAAGTGTTTCCAAGAGGCAGCATTTCAGCTGGGGTGGGGGAAGAGATGTACAGCCCCTGCAGCAACGTTCCTCCAGCATCCCAGAGTGCTCTGCTTCTCCACTCCCCCTCTACAAGCACTCGCACAGAAGGTGGGAAGAAAGCCGACGTCAGCGGGTGTCCTCCTGTTGCTACCTCCGCTCTCCCCAAACTGGAGGCAGACATGGAGGTAGGCAGGGATTGCCTATGCTGCTCTCCTAGCTCCCTGGGTTGGGGAATGGCAAGGGCACCATGGGATGCTGGAGGAGCCGTAGGTTTCTGGCCCCAGTAGGTAGAGGGTTCATATACAAGGAGAAGCAAAGTGCTTCTAAAAGGGGCATGCCATTCAAGCATGTCCCTGTTTGGAGTATCAAAATGCCTCAAAAGCCCTTCGAATCAGAGAAGAAGGGCTGGGAGGGAGCTCCAGGGGTCACATCAAGTCTAAGCCCTGCCTGAGGCAGCATCAGCCTTGTCCAAACCAGCCCAGGCAAATCCATCGTCCAACTTCTTATCAAAGGTACAGGAGCTCTCTGAAGGCACCCAAAATACTTACTGTGAGCATGTCGACACGTGCACTTTAATGCGCATTAGCCTGTTTTAATGCGCATTAAAGTGTCACCAAAAAGCCCATGCTCTTTACTTAATGCGCATTAAAGTAGGCTAACATGCCTTTTCCTAGTACCTCACAACGGAGGTACTAGATTTAATGTGCATTAACGGCATTAATGAACGTGTAGATGGGCCCAGTGCAATGTGTGCTGTAGACTCGTGGCTGTGACTGGGCAAGGACTCGGTGACCTCCCTGGGGGGGAGAATGGAGCATGCAATGCTGGGTCGAGTGAGGGCATGTGGAGTTCGCCACCCCAGACCGGACCCCAAACCACAGCGGCGATGACAACACGATTCTTGTGTGTAAGAACAAAAGTTTAATATTTTTCTCTCTAAAAACAAAAAAAAGGGAACAATCTTTTGTGTAGTAGAAAACAAAGAGCCACCACCCCACAAATGGCTTTGACGGAGCAAGGAGACGGAGGACGAGACGGGCTTGCTTCCTTTAGGGATGCCTGCTGGATGGAAGGGACCTTCGTGGCGGTGCCACTCAGGGGGGGACGTCCTCCCTGATCTGGACCTGCAAGGGGCAGATGCGGAGGGAGCCAGAGGATGCGTCGGGCGCCAGGCTCCCCACGTAGAAGTAGGGGAAGACCTCGCCGTTGAACTTCTCGTGGAAGGTGTAAATGTGGCTCTTCCGTTCGGCATCGTAGAAGGACAGCTCGCCCTCGTCGCAGTCCAGCTCCACCCGCAGTCGCCGCAGGGCCCCCGGCACCATCTCCGAGCGGGCCGAGTTGGAGGCCCGGCATGCCTCGCTCTCCTGGCCCTGCAGACGGTAGATGTACCAGAAGCCCGAGCGAGCGGCGTGGTGGAAGTTCCAGCGCCGGCCGCTGCGGCCCCGTGCCACGCCCACGCGCCAGTTCTCCAGCCCGCCCAGGTCCACCTCCCACGTGTGGAAGCCCTTGGAGAAGCCGCAGGAGCCCAGGATGCAGGGGGCTGAAGAGAAGCGCTCAGGGTTGTCCACCAGCAGCTTGTAGCCCCCGTTGCCCACTGCCGTGAGGTCGCTGGAGACCGAAAGCCAGCCTGCTGCCGAGTTGGGGTCAAAGCTGAAAGGCACTGAGGGGGGAGGAGAAGATGGGGGCATTAGGAGGCCTCTGGAGCTGCCCACGAGCCATGGAGTCATGTGGCAGGGTGATGGGAAAGGGTCCCGTTGAGGGCAAGAGAAGAGCTACGGGCAAAGATTGCAACCACTGCCCCCAGGCCCTCCCACCCCCTACACAGGGAGCTCCAAGCAGCTCATCCCAGGTGGCCAGTGGTTACTGCTGCTCCGCCGCTCACATCAGATCGCCCGCGTGATCCCTGCATCCTTGGGCAGCACTGTACCTGGCACCTGCTATTCAGTCCCTGGGTCCCAACCCACGTTCCTGCTCCAGAGACGTGCTTCCCAGCTGTGGGGAGCTCACAAGATTGGTCTGAATCCGTGCCTGGAAGAACTAGTGGAGCTGGTGCCAGCGAGGCCCTGTAAGCCCCTCCCTATTACAGCTGTGACTCCTCCCCCTGTCCAGACAGGTCATGCCTGCTGGACCAATACGAGTCACAGTTTCTCCCCCAATTGGTCCACCCCCAGAGGCCAAAACAGACCAGGCTATTAGCCCACTACACATCAGGAGAGGGGACTGCATGGGGTCATCTCCAGCCTAGTCCATAGCTGGGACCTAGGCAAGGGCCTGGGATCATGCAATGTCCAGGATGGATGAAGACACTGATTAAAATTGGGAGAGCAGCCAGGGACGGGTAGGCTGGGGGGCATCTGCACAGCTGGTTCTGTTCAGCCCATCACGTGCCACAGCTGCAAGCAAGGACAGAGCAGAGAAGCACAGGATCCTAGAGCTAGGGGACTGGCAGGGAGCTCCAGAGGTCACATCTAGTCCAATCCCTACCTGAGGGCAGGATCAGCCCTGTGCAAACCACCCCAGACAAATCCACTGTCCAGCCTCTGAGCAAAACTACTGTCAAGCCTGACAGCACCAGGCATCACACCCAGCCCTGCCACAGGGAAAGCAGGGGGGCTGCGGCAGCCAACGTCCTGCTGCTGTCAAGGTTATTAATATACAGTCAAGAGATTCCAGGTAGAGGCCATGCCCCTGCTACAAAGGAAGGCAACACCCCCCCACCCCCGCAGTCCGCACCAATCTAACCGGGGGGGGCGGGGGCAAATCCCTTCCTGACCCCAAACGCAGCACCGGTCTGACCCCGAGCAAAGGAGCAAGACCCTCTAGGGTTGGAAGGAGAAAACCAACAATGCCCAGAAGCCTGGGAAGTATCAAGCACCCTCCACACATCACCCGCTCTCACTGGGCACCCAGAGCTCCCCTTTCTGTATCCCCTCCAGGAGCTGATCCCAGCTCCTTTAATCCTCTTCCATAACCAAGCCAGCCGTGGAGCTCTGCCTCCCTGCTCTGGCAGCAAAGAGGTTTTTCCCGATGCCAGGTCTAAACCTACTTTGCTGCTGTGCCCTCCTCTCTGCAGCAGGAGAGAAAAGGTGCTTTCCCTCTGCTTCCTAGAAACCTTTCAGGTATTTGCAGATCCCCTCTTAAGCACTGTTTTTGCAAGTGAACCTGCCCAGCTCCTTCAGCCTCTTCTCAATGGAAGCAATGTGACCCCTCGTCCACACCTCCCAAACCAAACCCTTGCCATTGTAGTTTTACCCCACCATAAACAACCCTTCCAGGACACATGGGTCCTACCCTGGAACTCCCCTGCATTGGTCATACCAGCCCCTGACCCACATTACATACATTACGCCATTAACTGGTTCAGCATGCAATACTTTTAGACCCGTCACATGTGCAAAGTAATCACACCAAAAAAAATAGCTGTCCAGTTACAAAAATGGTCATCCAGCTACAAAGTTAGTACTTGAAAATGTGCAACAACTCTATAGCTGGTTGCACACTAGCCAGCCTCCATTTGAATGTGTAGCAGGTCCTGGCATTTCACCTTGATTGCACGCAGTTGCCTCTGCTACCATCTCTGCCCTGCCCACTGCCCCACTGTTACCAGAGCACCTTGCTCGCCAAACAACAGCCTCCTGGCCTCGTGCTCCCATCCTGCCCCCTCTCCTCTCCCTGTAACTGGCAGCTCCAAGCTGCGACACGCACAGCAGCGAGCTCCGCACCTCCAGATGCTCTGCCCTTTGTTCAGGGCTTGCACAGCTGCCCTGCTGTTTGATGGATGGAAGGGAGCGCTGGGTGGATGGGGCTGCAGTGCTGCCTTCTAGCGGGAGAAAGCAGCCTTGCGAGTGGGTCTGGGCTGCTTTGGTTTGATTGCCAGCTCAGAGGATCACACATCCTTCTCCAGCAACCAGAGACACAAATCTTTGGCTTGGCTTAGCAGGGGCCTTGGGAGAAGAAGGTGAGGGGGTGATGGCTGTGGCATGCAAGCAGGGCAGGAGAACTCCTCTGTACGGGGTTCAGGCTCAGCTCATGAGCTCTGCCTTGCAAACAAGCCAAGGGCTTCAGGCTCCAGTCCTTGGTGCCTGTCACAGCACCAGACACCTCTGCAGCAAAGCCAGGGGCTGGATTTGCAGGGAGAATGGTGCTGCTGTATTGGGAATGAGGACCGGCACCTGGGTCTCAAGGTCTTAGGGATGCCTCCCAGCATCAGGCCGCTAGCTCCATCATCTTCCTCCTGCCTAGAGGTTCCCTGCTGAGCGGGCGATGCCACGCCAACAAGAATGACCAAACCCGAATGGGTCTTTGCTGGGGCTTCCCTATGCTCTCCAGCCCTGATCCAGCCCAACCTGGGACAGCCTGGGGAGAGCCGAAGCCAAGGAGGGCCCTGAAGGAGGGACACATGCTGGGACCAAATGTTCGTGGGGGCTGTAATCCTGGGGTCTCCTCTGATATCATGAAACGAAGGGGTTTTCCAGCCCTGGGGAGATCACTGAAGAAGATGAAGAAGTGTGAAGGGTGGGGGGATACAGCTACATCTCAGGGGCTGGGTTCAAGGGTGCTCCGGGTCAGGATCTGCCCGGTACATCCAGGGTGCAACCCTGGCTGGGGTTACACGATTGCCAGGTCATCAGCAGCGTTTGATCCCCTAACCAGCAACTGCAACCGCAAGCAAAGTTCTCGAGCAGCAGTAGTAGGCTGCTTGCCTCTAGCAAGACCAGCCCCAGCGTGGCATGCCCCCACCCCGCACCTCCACGCCAGGGCGCAAGTTCCCCAGAGCCTCACCGACGGGGATGATCCCCAGCATCCTCTTCCACACGTCGTACTGGAGGGACCCCAGGTACTTGGCCACGTCGATCAGCATGCCCGGTAGGACCGCTTCCGGCTCCTCCGCTGTGCAGGCAATTCTGGAGTCGGGGACAAAAAGGACAGCATGAGGCAGAGGTACAGCGACAGACATGAATTGGGAGTGTGTCCCACCAGCTTGGAGCCATAGCACCCTGCCAGCCACAAAAGAGAAATACTTGCCATGGGGAACACAGCCTCCAAGCAAAGTCCACTGCCCAGGGGGGCCTGGAAATCCAGACCCGATTCTCCGCTTCCTGGCCTTATGCCCAATTGATAGCGGGTACCCCAGGGGAGCTGCGGACCCAGAGGTCAGAGCTGGCCAGGGCTGGGTGGGCAATACTGACCCCCGCCTGTATTATCCTGCTCAGACTCCTCTCCAGCACCCCAAGTCCAGCTCGGAGGGGCTGAGAGCTGACACTACGGCTGGAGCTCGTCCTCCTGGAGAAAGCCCTAGTGCATGTCCCAGCGCCAAGTTCAAGTACGATGCTACAATGCTGCCACCTAGCAGCCATGGGCCTGCACAGGGACAAGGTAAAACTTCAAATACTGATCTAGAGACCCAACCGGATGAGGCCGTGGACAGATATAAAAACTCTCAGATGTTTTAAACGGGGCAGCACGAGGTGAAGCTCAAGACCGTGCACTGGTCGAAGCTGTTCCTTGGATCTCAAGGGCATTTTAGCAACCCTTGCAGTAGCGGGACAGTGACAGCCCTCATCCCCCTGCTCTACCGTGGCAGGTTTGGGTGCTCTTGGATTATTTTTGGTGGAGAGAGGGCCCACGTGCTAAAGTGACAGGGTTAGTTTTAGGAACAGGTTAAACAAGCACGTGCGTGCGGTGGTTTGGATAGGGCTCAGGCAGGGGGTTGCACTAGGTGTTACCTCTGGAGGTCCCTTCCAACCCCACTTCTCTGTGAAGGCAATGGGCACACTTATACCAGGATAAAAGTAGGCAGATGTAACTGAACTGCTGCAACTCTATGCTGGTTGCAGAGTCAAAGCTGAAGCGATGTAGCTCGCCGGCAGGACAGGTAAGTAGGGAGCTGTGTTAGCCTCAAGTCAGGCAGAAAGCAGGGTAGAGAGGTGACTTATCTATGTATCTCTCATTCAGTTAGTCTGCAAGGTGCATCAGGACATGGATTTATAAAGGGGCAGAATGATACTTTCTGGTTTGAAGGGAATGGTTAACAAAGTGGAAAGTATCATGATGCTCTTTTATAAAACCATGCTGCAGCTACCCCTTGAGTCCTGCACCCAGCTTTGGTCCCTGCACCTCCAAAAGGACATAGAAGAACCAGAGAAGGTGCAGAAAAAGGCTACGAAGGTGAGGCTGGATATTAGGAAGAGGTTTCACACTAGGAGGGTGGTGAAGCACTGGCACAGGCTCCCCAGAGAGGTGATGCACACTCCATCCTTGGAGGTTTTCAAGACTTGGGTAGACAAAACCCTGGCTGGGATGATGTAATTGGGGCTGGTCCTGCTTGGAGCAGGGGGTTGGACTAGATGTGACCTCTTGAGGTCCCTCCCAGCCCTCATTTCCTATGATTCAAGTACGGAAATCGAGTCCACCAGACGTGGTGGAAGCTGAGGGTTCAGCCAGATAAAAAGAGAGGGCCTGGACACGTGCTTGGAGGAAAGGGGCACCGGTCACTATTGAGCAGGGAGAGAGGGGCAAGGCCTCTGCATCCCACCTGCCTGAACCTTCAATGCTGGAGAGAGAGGAACAGGGGAAAACCCTGGCCAGACTCAGATCATCTCTCTTCCAGTCCGCGCTCTCTGCCACCATGTGACACAGGAGACTGGGCAAGAGGGACCTAGGTCTGACCCAGTACGTGGTCATTTTTACAGCTTATACCAGTGCAGTTCTCAAGCTCCGACATGGGCAGAGGTGAATTCCCCCTGCTGTGGGGCGCTGGGTTATTCGGTAACCCCACTCTGCTGCATCAGGTGCACGAAAAAAGCAATGCGAGTGCCCAGGGGCTTACCTGCGCTTGCGGTTCTTGTGTTTCTGAAAGAGAGCAGAGAGGGCAGCATGTTAGAAACCCACGGAAAACACCTGGATTATTGGAAGAAAGCAACCGACAGGCTTGCAGGGAATTGCCGTGGCCTGCCGTACTGTGCTAAAGCAGCGCGCCGCTGTTTGTGGAGAAAGCTCTCACCGGGGCTGCAATCCAGCACCCTCCCCCCAGACCACAGCAAAGCTGCAAGCTCCAGAGTAGTCTTCTCCGTGGGGAACAGGCATTGCAAGAAGGTAAGACTACCCTGCCCAGCGAGTCCTTCCCCACGCAACAGCAACCTTTAAAACCCAGGGAGGGACCCTTGGCTGGTGGAGATTGGAGTCCGCTGAAGTCTGGGGAGCTCGGCCCATTCCCACAGCCCTGGGGCTCAGCTCCCCATGGACTGCACTGCCTCTTCACCCAGCTGCAGGCTTGGTGCTAGTCTCCTGCTGCCCCAAGCTCAGCACGGAGGATCCCACCATCTGCTCCAGCTGGCCAGGACCTTTGCGGGGGGACCCTGCAGCTCAGAAGGGACAGCAGCATTTCCCACGGAGCAGGATGGAGGCTTCTGGGCGAAGGACAGCTGCCACCCGACACCCCCCAGATCTGGAGCTCCCTGCATAGTCCCCTCCTGCCATGCATGTACCCTGGGTCATACCTAGCCCGCATCCCCACATCCTGCTCATTCCCAGGGTCATTACAGACACACACATGCGCACATGCGCATCCCTTCCCTGGTGTCTAGGGGCATGTGAAGCTAGCAAGATCACAGCTGCATTAACCCTTGCCTGCTGCCCTGTGGGGGTGGGGAGAGTTTGGGGGGCACCCGCCATCCCCCTTCTCTGACCCCCCAGGGCCTGGGGCTCGGCGTTACCCGGAGGAAGGTGCAGTCATCCTCCCGAAGGTCGGCCTGCAGCAGGTCGGCTTCGCGCACCAGGGTGCTGCTCTCTTCCGCCAGCTTTTGCACCTTGCCGTCGATGAGGCCCCGCTTGCTCCGGGCCTCGTCCCGCAGCTCGGCCAGCACGGCTTTCTCCTCACCCCGCAGGAACTCGTGCAGCTTCTCAAACTCCTGCTGGATCTGCTCCTCCAGCCGAGCTGCCTCTACCTGCAGCGGAGAGGCCAGGACCGCGCTATGGGATCGGAGCCACCAGCGCGACCCGTCACTTTAGGACAAGAAGCGGGGAATGTCTGCTGGATGCTGTGGGACTCGCTAGGACCTTGCGGCGCAGGATGGTGCGCTCCTACACCTGCCAAGGTGGGTCTCTGCCCCAGAGAGCATGCTATTAAAGCCAGGTGCGGAGCAGGGACTTTCTAGGGGGCTGGTTCTCCTCCAAACAAGAGGGGAGTTTGGTCACACACAAAAAAAGAAGTGATTTCACAGAAACCATCAGAGCATGAGAAGCTGAAAGGACAAAAGAAAAATTAAAACCTAAACTCACTCCCCAACCCCGCACGCAGACACGCCGCTGTGCGTATAGACTTCAAATTCTCAGCCTAGCTCCTGAAAACATACGGACTTGGCTTTCAGCCCTGTCCCAAAGAAAGAGCTTGGAGGAAGTGAGGAACTGAAACCAAAACTCGGGGAGCGTGGAGAGCAAACGCCCAGACGGGACCAGCCGCCAAGCTCAGGCAGGATGGGATGTTGAGTTTGGGACGGGCACACACGCACGAG